TTGCCCCACGCAGCCTGCTGCTCAGTCATTTAGTTGTCCCTCACTAATCCCCCTGCCAGCCTGGTCGCCCCACATAGCCTGCTGCTCAGTTGGTCGTCCCTCACCAACCCCCCTGCTGGCCTGGTCGCCCCACGCAGCCTGTTCGTTCGTCCATTTGATTGTTTCAGTTGCGATGGTCGCAGAGGCTTTTATATATATAGATATCCAATAATTAGAGTTAGTTCTTTAATATAACAAGAGGCCCGGTGCACAAATTCGTGTTCGAGTGGGGTCCGGCCAGCTTGCCCTGATCGGGCCGATCAGGCTGGGCCAGCCAGGGGGAGGGGCTGCGGGTGGTTGGCTGGCCCTGCCCCCGATTGGGGTGGGGGACTGATCTGGGGCAGGGCCAGCCAGGGGGAGGGGCCTCGGGCAGTTGGCTGGCCAGCCCCGCCCCTGGCCGAACTCCTGATTGAGGGGATAATTTGCATATTAGCCTTTTATTATATAGGATGAGAAGGAAAATGAGCACAGATAGGGACAAATCTCAGTTAATTAACTTAGATCAACTTAAAATCTCTTTTTATTTTGTTTTAAATATATTTTATTGATTTTTTACAGAGAGGAAGGGAGAGAGATAGAGAGTTAGAAACATCGATGAGAGAGAAACATCGATCAGCTGCCTCCTGCACATCTCCCACTGGGGATATGCCCGCAACCAAGGCACACGCCCCTGACCGGAATCGAACCCGGGACCTTTCAGTCCGCAGGCTGACGCTCTATCCACTGAGCCAAACTGGTTTCGGCAACTTAAAATCTCTTTATGGGTTACTTTCTAGAATCATGGTAGCTAAGTATCAAAACTGAAACTATCCTACTTTAGGTACATCATGGGAAGGCAGGGTTCTTTGGAAAAGACAGAAGACAGCATAAAGAGGAGACCAAACATGAGATGGACTGACTCCCTAAAAGAAGCCACAGGCAGGGTCCACAGGCGCTGGGCAGGGTTACTGAGGATAGGACACTGTAGACATCAATATTTGTACAGTCACCAGGAGTCCAACTAACTCAATGGCTCCTAACACACAAGTGGCCAGGAATCTCAGAAATAAGCCCAAGGTCTTGTCATCTTAACCCAGCTCAGGATAATGCATTTTGTGGTTCTGAACAAGAACAGAAGAAGGGAATTCAATTAAAAGGATACTGCGGTGGTCCAGAGGAAAGCCTAGATTAAGGTAGAAGTATACAAATTTATGATCTCTACTTGGATTTCATATAGACATAACAAACTCATGTTCCAGTATAAGCTCCAAATCTTTCCTACCAGTCTGCTCTACCTGTACCTTCCTTTTTTTTCCTTTAAGACAGACTCAAACTTTTGTAGCCATCCTTGGTTCCCCTCAAAACCCTCATCCATTTAGAGAGCCAATCTTGTTGAATCAACCCTCAGAATAGATCCAGAAGCTGACCACTTCTCACTACTCCCCTGCTATCACCCTAGTGCCAGCTACTGTATTTTCTCACCCAGACTAATGAAACAGAGTCCTAATGCTCTCCCTGCTTCTATTCCTATTACTCTACGATCTATTCTTAACATAGTTGCTAAAGTAATCCTTTTAAGCTTAAGCTAAATCATGGTTGCTCAAAGTCATGCAATAGCTCAGAGTAAAAGCCAAAGTCCTTGGAACAGCCTATGGCAGTATTTCTCATGCAACAGAACCATCTGAAAGGCTTGTTAAAACACAAATTGCTGGGCCCTACCATCAAAATTTCTGATTCATTAGGTCTGGAGTGGAACCCAAGAATGTATTTGGACAAAGTTATCAGATGTGTTAGTCCAAGTCTTTTGAGAAGTAGATGCCAAAATGTACAAGAAATTTATTAGGGGAAACACCTGTGAGAGATAATGAAGAGGAACCCAGGAGAGGCTGGGACAGCCTCCAGACTTAGATAAAGCTGATGTTGGTGATCCTGGAAAGCAAAGTACAAAACCATGCTTTGAGAACCACTGGTCAACATGATCTCCATCCTCTCATATCTCTCTAACCTCATTTTATCCTACTCTACTTTCCATCCTCCATTCCAGACACCTGCCTCCAAGCTGTTTGTACTCAGATCTTCCCTTTATTACCCTATATAAAACTGCCACCAGTGCACTTCCCCACCCTATACTGATCCTTCTTATCCTGTTGTACATCTTTTGTTCTAGAGTACTAATTATCATGTAATAAATAAATAAATAAATAAATTTAATGTCTGATCTATTGGTTATTTTCTGTTTCCCATTACTAGAATATAACCTACATGGGACAGAAATCATGGTTTTATTCACCAATATATCCCAAATGCCTAGAGCAGCTCCTGGTACACAGAGGTGCTTAATTAATATCTATAGCATGAATGACATGAATTTCTACAGTTTTAGAAAGCAGAGAAATAGAAAAGGTTAAAACAAAAATCACTGTTAACCATCTATATTTTATTGCTTCAGTGCATCAGATTAGAAGTAAAAGAAAAATGAAGAGTATATTTTAATTGGATGTTTTCTTTTAACTAGAATGGCAATAGAAATACAGATAAATAAAAAATTACAAGATGATATCATATACTTACATTCCTGATACTAATGACACTTTGAACACGTGTTGAGTAGTGGAAGATGGAGTGCCTAAAGCCACATTAAGTGCTCTGTCGATACTGAATGCCATCTGAGAAAGATAGCTTTCTGGCTGCTGTCCATAACCATCGTATGGCACATAGAGGTAAGGAAAGATGCCATGTAGATGAAGACATGTCTTCTGACCTAAAATGTAACACATTATAAAGTTTAGTCTTAGATACATTTAAAAAGTTCAACAGTACAAAGCTCAAAATCATGTCATTTAAATGTTCTATGACAACAGATTATCTAAGGTAAGGGTTGAAGAAAACTAACCCATAATTAAAGCCACCTGTATTAACTATATTTTACAACAGAACATTTAGGAGCATTTTATAAACATAAGTAGTATAGTATGATTTAAGCAGTAGTTTTGGTGGAAGTATGTTTGAATATTTCACCCTCACAATCTAACTAGTTTTATATACTTTGCTGAATCACCCTATAATACGACTTGGCACAGGGTTATAAAGCTTATAAAAATTCACTGAAAGTCAACTAAATAGATCAGTGAATGTCTACCTTGGCATAATGTTTTCAAACAAGAGACTTCTCTAAGATAGAGACAGCTCTAGGTGAAAGGAGAAGGTAAAAATAGTTTCAGTGTGTGGAATTTTGCTACGGGGCGGCGGGGGAGAAGCGTGAGAAGGGAATGGGAAAAAAAAAACAGACAAAAACAAATCAAAAGAAAATCTCTACTGATCAGTGGTCTGTAATGGACTTCTGGATATCTAAATTGCATATTTGATGGAGTGGGACACAGGAGACACAACGAGAGGAGAAAGAAATAAGCACGCACACTTCCCAGAGAGCCATTATATCAGGCAAGGTGAAGAAGGGGTAAATGGTGATTTGCCAACAGACAATCCGGCACAGTCATGATAAAGAAAGTAATATGAGTAAGAACTCACAAAAGAAGTGCCACAGAAACAGTAATGTATCAGTGACAAGGTTAAGTAACAACAGCAACAACAAAAAGCAGAGGCACCACTACTCTCATGATCTGGCAGAGCTGTCTGGAAGTGGTTCCTGTCCCCTGAGAATTGTCCCTAGTTCCCTTTACATCCATGCTATTTATCTAATTTCACATAGAGAGGAGAGCAGCAGTGATGGAAGAACACATCCATTTTTCTCATGCTGTCACTCACTATTCCTGACGTTCCTGCCAACACAATCTCATGCTTCTTGCCCAACCGCTATACTACTCTGTTTCACTGGGCTTTTTCTTTTGGTAGGAAAGGAACTATTTGTTTGATTACTAGTTCCTAAATATAATTTAGAATGATTTATATAAAATATATAGAAAATTGTTCTATGTTCTGTTGTTAACTGTATTTATACTTTTCATAATGAGTAACACCAGCTTGTCTTATTCTGAAGGTACATTATAAGAGAATTAATAAATCTGGAAATTATTACATAAAGTAGAGCAAAACTGGAAAGATAAGTAACATAATGGAATAAGATCAATATCCTTCTGAGTGCAGTACTCTGATTTGAACTATCAACTTTCCACACTTTTGAAAGAATTACAAGCTGTTAGACCAATTTCAGTTTCTATTTTTAGCAGCAGTTATGCTACTTAGTATCAAGGTAATAAAAAATATTTTCAATTAAAAGCAAATTCTTCAGCTAGTTTTATTTCTAAATATGACATGGTACTATTTCCTAACTATTGCAGTTTTTAAATTCTTTTAAAAAACATGTTTTTATTGATTTCAAAGAGGAAGGGAGAGGGAGAGAGAGATAGAAACATCAATAATGAGAGAATTGATAGGCTGCCTCTTGCATGGCCCACACTGGGGATCAAGCTAGCAACCTGGGCATATGCCCCTGACTGGGAATCAAACTGTGACCTCCTGGTTCATAGGTCGACGCTCAACCACTGAGCCATTCTGGCCAAGCTTTTAATACTTCGAATAGAAAAAAAAAAAATTCAGTTATAGTGAGTCTTAAAAAAATATAATTAATTGGTTTACTGATGATCTACTTGAATACCTTTTAAACATCTCATGAAAAAAACATTATAACCATTACCCTGCTGGATATAAACCACAATTTGGTTAAAAGAAACTGGCATGGTAAAGCATGGGATAAGAAAGATGGAGAGACAGAGAAGTATTCCCTTTTAAGTTGACAAATCTAAGATCAGTGATTACTGAATTACTAGTATAACAGTATATTTATAAGAACTATTGTAAGTTCCTAAAATATTAATTTTATAGTCCATATATTTTAATAGAAATCTGGGTAAATTTAAGAGACCCAATCATACAATATGATTTTTATTAATGATTTATTTATAGGAAGGGTGTTCACGAAGTTCACATATTTTTTTCTTTTTGTTTCTTTTTTTTCATTCTTGCTATTCTTTTCTTCTTCTTTCACATATTTTTAAAAAAATATTTATTTTCACATCTCCTGTGAAGTAGGCACCAGAGGAATTACCTTTCTATTTATAGACTTTGGAACTACAATAATTTGTGGTATATGACTTAGGAGGGAGAAGCAGAAATGATTTATTCAGCAGGCACTGGACTAAGTGCTTTAAATATATTTCTAAAACTTAGAATAGTATCATAAACTTTAACTTTCCTAAAGTCACAAGATATTAAGTAATTGAATCAGGATTTGAAAACAGATTAATAAAAATCTAAAATCAATGCTTTTTCCATTTCACTATGTTGGTTCAAGTTAATGTTGGGTTCCTTAATCCTTAATTTCCCAGTTCTTATTTTGTCCTGAAAATACCTGTTTCCTTATCTGACTCTCTCCCAAATTCTTTGGGAGCTGGTGCTGTGTTTGAATGATCGTAATATCCCCAGGACCCAGCACAAACACATAGTAAGTGCTAAATAAACATATCCTATATAATAAACGGGCAATATGCAAATAGACTGAATGGCAGAACAACCGAACAACCAATCAAAGTGTAATATGCTAATGATATGATGAGGCTGCTCAACTGCTTGCTATATGTGCACTGACTACCAGGGGGCAGACAGTCAACTGGTCGACCAGTCGCGACATGCACTGACCGTCAGGGGGCTTGCACTGACCACCAGGGGGCAGATGCTCTGACCGGGAGGTTAGCTTGCTGCTGGGGTCCGGCCGATCAGGACTGAGCGAGATGGACCAGACACACCCTGGAGCCTTCCCGCGGTCCCTCCCCGGCCCGATTGTGCACCAGTGGGGTCCCTCAGCCTGGCCTGCACCCTCTCGCAACCCAGGACCCCTCAGGGGATGTCCGAGAGCCGGTTTCAGCCCGATCCTGCAGGCCACACCCCTTGGGAGGGCACCAGACGCAGGGCTCATGGCTGGTGAGTGCTGCAGCAGCAGCGCGAACCTTTCCCGATCGGGACTGATTGGGCGCGAGCCCGCAGCAGGCACAGTGGGGCTGGGATGAGCAGGAGTGGCAGGTAGGAGCTGCACGCAGGGTTGAACTGCGGGTTTCAGCCCAATCCCTGCAGGCCACCCAGAGGGACCCCACCCATGCACAGATTCGTGCACCGGACCCCTAGTATTAAATAAATGAATAAACCCTCAGCAAAACAGAATAACTGCTTAAGGAGAAAGACTGTGAATATCTGAAAAAAAAATCTATAAAAACAGAGCGACTCTGATACAACTAATGGAATTACCATCAGGGTTACTATAAAAAGTATAGGTATTGTAAAGCATCCCCAGCTTATTGCATTTTCCTACCATGAATGACCTGAAGTCCCATGCAAAGCTGTAGTCACTGCATCCAAACAAGTGTACCTTCCTCTGATTCTCCAGCAGCTGGTGATAGTTCAGTGCAGGGGTCCTCAAACTACGGCCCGCGGGCCAACATGCGGCCCGCCGAAAACATTTATCCGGCCCGCAGGGGTTTTTGCCACTGTGTGCATAGGAATTTGTTCATAGTTTTTTTTAAACTATAGTCTGGCCCTCCAACGGTCTGAGGGACAGTGAACTGGTCCCTTATTTAAAAAGTTTGAGGACCCCTGGTTCAGTGTCTTACTCACCACCCTCTCTCAATGACAACCCCCTGAAGAACAACTACAGCATAGTAAAAAACTCCTGGCCTAGCACTAATGACTCTAATACAGAAGAGTATCATAGAATATAATGAGAAACGAGATAAATTAAGAAACTTTCAAAAAGATATATAAGGAAAGAAAAATGTGTAAAAACAAATGTAAGAGTCAATTTCTTTTTAGCAGTATTATGTCTTTGATTATTGTAAAACTTGTAGTTCTATAATAGCACTGCTTTATCTTGATAAAGATATACTTCCCTCCATCAGCTTTACCCCTCAAAAATGTGTGGAGCCACATGCTGTTAAGTCCCTTAGAGATAAACTAGTCTACCATAAGTTAGGATTATGTTCAGTTGTGAGAAAATGCCCTAAAATCAGTGGCTTAGGTATTAAATTAGGCTTCTCTAGCATAAAAGACATCCAGAGGTAAGTAGTTGGGAATAAGGACTCAGGTTTAGTGACCTAATTAAGAGGAACCTTTGGCTTCAGGCCTGAGGCTTTTCCTATACTCCAAGGAGTTCCACACAGTTTTAAAAGAATATTTTTATAAAACTAGTGAAAGCTGTGCCATTTTGAAACATTACTAGATGATTTGAGGTTCTTTTTCTTATAAGATTTTTAAAAATTGATATTTAGAGAGAGAAAGGGAGAGGGAGAGAGAGAAACAATGATGTGAGAGCAGAACATTGACTGGCTGCCTCCTGCACTCCCCCAACTGGGGATTGACCAGTGTACTCAGACAATCCCCAACCAACTGAGCCACACTACCCAGGGTTCATTTGAGATTCTTAAATGATTTAGGATATTAGCTATTTCTAGGTAACATATGGATGCAAAGAAAGAAAATATGGCTACTTTCTGAATGCCCCCCTTATGGTCGTGCCAAACTGAATTAAGGCAACAAGTCCAGTAGGGATCTGGATGATTTCTGGGAGAATAAGTCTATATACATAGGTTTCTTTTTTGTTTGTTTGTTTTTGTTATATATATATCAATGATAGGAGAGAATCATTGATCTGCTGCCTCCTGCATACCCCCCACTGGGGATCAAACCCGCAACCCGGGCATGTGCCCTGACCAGGAATCGAACCATGGCCGCCTAGTTCATAGGTCGATGCTCAAC